TGTTTGATAGTAGAAAAAGGAGTATATCTAAAATGGGAAGGTAGTAATCCCAAAGGATCGCGAGAAATCCCTAAGGAGAAGCGTCATTCGTCATTCTGAGACGACTGACGTTTTTACGAGAGAGACAGGAACAAATACGTCCAAGTAAATTGCAGAAGTATGGTCCACCCATGTCCTCCCGAGTACTGTGGGTAATAAAACCTGGCACTTGGTACCTCTACTGAGAGGGTTCAGGGTATTCCAACTTTAGTAGACTTCCTTGAAATTAAATTTCCTTTCATCTCCTTCAGTATTTGACTTAATGTCTCATGTTTAGTTTGTTTTGAGAAAATATTTTTACCTAACAAGAACAATCTTCATTGACTACTTTACGAAATTGCATTTAATATTGATTATAATTAATTCCGAAAAATAACTCTTTATTTATTATTTATCGTTTANATTTCTTAATTTGTAAATGGTATTATAATCTTATTATATAATAACAATTATTAAATTATTATATTTAATTTAATATTTCCAAAGTGATGCAAAATGATGATGATTATAATTTTGCTTCACTTCTTTTATCACATCATCACTTAAGATCTTTATAGTCTTAAGAGGAGAGACAGGATAGCCCAAAAGTTAGTTAACGTGTTATATTTGTATGTTTTAGTTGTGTGTTTAGAACAATTCTTTTTTACAAAATAAATAGAATATCATGAAAATATATAAGTTAGCAATATATTCTTTACAATGGTAAACTGACTTTTGAGCCAGTTTTTTCCAGTTTTGATCCAGTAATTTCAATTATTTTGATTGAAAACTTTCGAAGAAAACGTTTACAATTTTTAACAATTATTAATTTTTTATTACAGGTTTCATGATTTTCCATTTGAAATCTTCGAATTACTTTTAGAAAAAAAAAAAGAAGGAAAAGAAAAACAATTTAAAATTATTGCATATTAACTAAAATTGTGGCAATGTAATCTGAAAGAGATAACGGTAGCTTGCACCAAAATGGATTATACTGATAGATTAACATGTCTTAGTCGATTCATGATGACTATATGGGAAACATTAACCATAGCAGCCGTGCAAGGTAAGTCTACAAACAAATATTTGTCAAACAGTAATGATACAGTGAATTAATAATTTATGTATGCATTATATCTATGCTTAAGGTAAGCAACATTTTAAATAAATAAAGCATTAGATTATATATATACATTCACTTTAATAAACCTATATATAGATCAATATATAAATTTTCTAATTTATAATGATAAACAAATGATTACCATCTTATCATTGATATAAATGTAATTTTATTTGTTTAATTTTTTAACTGTTTGCTTATTAATTACTTGGTATGTTTTAAGAGACTTTTTCTAATGCGAACTTTAATTTTTACATTTATTAAACATTATATTATGTTGACCTTTTACGAGTCATTAAGAAATAAGGAATTATACAATTTTTATCACGCACATGTTAGAAACGATAAAGTAACTAACTATTCCCACAGGCACGTTATTTTCTAACGCATTTTCTGTAAGATGTATTGTACTGTATTTATATACATATTCGAATAAATTCTAAGAATTATAAGAGATTAGATTAAACATTAACTGAAATAATAAAATTGCCTAACTAGAACGTTAAGACAATCATAAAACTCGAAAATTTATCGTTTGTGTGTCTGTCTGCGTGTATTTTTATGCTAAAAATTAAATAACATTATTATATCATAGATTTAAATATATTTCATTTGTAAAACTTATTAAATTCTTCGTGTTTTATCAGAAAAAAATTCAAGTAAATTAGGCTACTTTATTTGGTCTAGCCTGTGTTTAGCTTATCTAAACACATGCTAGACCAAAAAGTTAGTAACCATTGTCTAGACTAAATTTCTTATTTAAATATTTAATTACATTTTTAATCATGTTTCTATAAATTTTATAAAAGAAAAGACGTTCTAAATTCAGTTTACGATTCATATTGACAAATATTCTATACCTGAAAGTAAGGTTAAATGATTTTGGGCCACTTTTTAAAAATTTATATATAATGATTAGATTTATAATTATTTTAAGTTTTTAAAATATATAAATTTTGTTTTATCAATTTACGAAAATACATTTTTGAAGCTAAATTAAGTACATTTCAAAGATGGTATTACTTTTTTTATAATGTGATTGTAAAAAAAGCTTTATTTTATTTTATTTTTTGTTTTATTTCTTCCTGTTATACATAAATTTACTAACTTCGTAGAAAGAAATGATGTCGTGCCGACACGCTATTCTCTTCACTTATAAACATGTTTCATCTTTGTATACAGGAAGAGTTTATTCAAACAGATATTTAAAGAGACATGCAAATGAATATAAAAATGAATAATTTTTCTTTTACTCTCCCTCTGATTCTAGTCGATTTTACAGATTTATATCAGAGCTTAACATTGCATCGTATAAATGAACAAAAATACTGTATTTACTGTTTGTTTATTTTTTTCTAGTTACATTAAGATCTCTCAGAATGCAAACCCGATCTACTTATCTTTTTCAGGCCTCAATATATTAAAAAATGTATGGTTAAAACAATGTATTATATATAGTGGTTTTTCTCCACAAAATAACAATGAATTGAAAAGTGTGAGGCCTTAAATTGTAGCTTCGTAACATGAGGCCTGAAACTGCAGCTTGCTTAGTTTATGTATAAATTAGGCGCTGTGTATAAGAAATGCAGTAGAATGAATTATTTATTTTTAAAAAAATGTTTTGAGGGCCTGTAAATGTGAGTCCCATATTCATAGGTCCTTAAACATATTTGACCTCTCACAAGGGTCTAGACTAATAGCCTTTTGCCTGATTTATAGTAAAGCAACTCAATTATTTTAACAAAATAAATCTATTACTTATTTTCTTACCGTAAATCTTTTAAAAATATCGATTTAAAAAAGCATTTCTTAATCTTTCATTAGATTAAAATTTAAACCACGAGTTTAAATATTCAGCAATTAGAGGCGTAGCTAAAACGAATAGCCCAATATTTTACTAATTGTTAAGACACTAAGCGTAATAAATGTGTAGACTCGTAGAGAATGAAGCAGTTAAAATAAAACTTTTATTATAAAAAAACTAAATAAATTTGTTATAACTAAATTGATCAATAAATAAAATCTTACTCAAATTATTATACAGTATATTTTAAAATTATATTTAATTTATAAATTATGATAAAATTCTCGGCTTTTTGAAGAGAGAGAGTATGTAACAAGATGCTGCATACGGATGGTTGAACATTGTAGCTTATGTATTGCTCGCTATCTTTTAGTATGTGGACAATATGTAGGCATTGTATAACCATGTATATACATAGGTAAAGTAAGTAAACGTTAAGTCACTCACAGTTATCTCTAGGGGAGTTTCTTGCTAGGCAACGTGCGAAAAATAACGACATACTGACTATTCAATAACACTGTTGACAGGAGAAGCAAATGAGAACTCATTTGCAACAGAATTCTTCCTTTCTGGTTTTACAAAACGAAGATTTCTGTTTGAATAGAGAAACTATTTGAACGATCGATTGGTTTGCTAGCGTTACTGTCACGAAAGGAATGAGATGCTGTGTATAGGTATGTCCAGTTCTATATATCTATATACATGTTGGTGGATTGTGTTTCTCTGTGTGTAGTAAATTGCAAAAATGTTGTTCTTTTGTGCTTTGAAAGATGAAAAAATATATATAATAATAGTTAAACTTATCGACATTTTCTGTGATGAAATGGAAGGAGGATGCTTTTTCCATTTTTCGCATCTTCTTTGGAATATATGAAAATCCGGTGGATACCTATCCAAATTAAGAATTCCAAAAAATATTTTTTGTGGATATTTTATGAAAAAAATTCAAAAAATCTGATCTGTTGAGACGTGTAACGATTTTAAATAATAAAAGTTTTAAAGTAGGCTTTAAATATGATAAATATGAAACACTTAAAATAAAGAAATGTTAGAAAAACATAGTCTCTAAAACTTTATCTGACATGAAACAGGCGTGGCTGTCGTTCTGATCGACAAAAATGCTGAGAATAATCAATATATTTTTATACAGTGAAGTTCTTATAGATTAGTTAGTGAACATTGTCATGAAATATTTGTTAAACTTCTTTAATAAAAGAATCATTGTATACGTGTATACATGGTTTTAGTTGTAAGAATCTTCTTCAATGATTTATACAGTAAAATTTCATACATTTTATAAAATAAACAATTCTTATCTATAAAATAAGTTTCAAATTTCAATATGAAGGGTATATTCAAATTTTTAAAATTTTAATTAATACTGTAAAAGGGAGTGAATTATTAAATCATATTCAATTGTATTGTATTTTATACAGTAAAATTTCACTTACATAGCCAGTATATAATTGGAGTATACTGGCTATGTGAGTGAGTATACAATTTACAATTATAAGTGAAGTAGTCATCTAGGTGGAGTTGCAAAAAAGGTTGAGAATTGTAATTATTGTACTGAGTTTTGCTAAAAGTTTAATACAGATTATAAAAGTACTCTGGAAATAAAAAATTCATAAAATACTGAGCATGCTTTGCCATCTAAATTAATTCAAATTTTTATTCAGAGTAATGTATTAACACTGAATAATAGATTATTGATATACATGATATATATATATATA